ATACCTGTAAAAACTAATAGATAAAATTTGTATGTTTTTCTCCTACTGACTTGTCTTAGGTCAATCCCAGCTGGAGACCCAAAGAAGGTAAAGGAGAAATTTTACCTCCCCTATGTCTCTTTACCCCAGTCCCTGATAACCACCATTCTTTTCTGTCTCTATGAATTTGACTACTCTATGAACTTGATATAAGAGGAACCATACTATACTTGCTCACCTGTGACTGTCTTATTTTCAATTAGCATAATGTCTTCAAAGTTTATCCATGTTGTAGCATGTGTCAAAATTTCCTTCCTTTTAAGACTAAATAACATTCCATTGTATATGTGTACCATGTTTTGTTTATCTGCTCATCTGTCAATGAACATTTGGGTTGCTTCTGCTTTTTGGCAATTATGAACAATGCTGATTTGAACATGGGCATACAATATCTGTTCAAGTCCCTGCTTTCACTTCTTTTAGATATATTCCAGAAGTGGAATTGCTGGATCATATGGTAATTTTATGTTTAATTTTTTGAGGCATTACCATGCCATTTTCCACAGCTATGGCAGGATTTTACAGTCCTACCAACAATGCAGAGGGGTTCTAATTTCTCCACATCCTAGCTAACACTCATCATCTTTTGTTTTTTGTTTTTGTTTTTGTTTAAAATAGTTATCCTAATGGGTGTGAAGTGGTAAATAGCAAAAGTCTTTGGAAGTGGTTTTGCTCCAATTCCCTATTCAACCCATGCTATTTGTCCCTAACACTTCACTGATAAACCTCTTTTAAGGTCACCAAAATCCATGATAATGCCACACCCAGTAGGCCCTGTCCAGTCAACTTATACAGCCCCATGCAGCATTTAATATAATTAAACATTCTTAAACCACTTTCTCAGTTTGTTTTTCTGAATACTACTTTCTCTTGGTTTTCCTCTCTCACTGGCTATTCCTTCTCCAACTCTTTGCTGGTTTCTCTCCATCTCTGAGTCAACCTGTCCCTCTCACACCCCTTTTCTTTTCTCTATCTATACTCCCTAGGGGAATCTTATCCAGTTGAATGGCTTTAAAAACTATTTAGACCCTGACAACTTACAAACGTATATATCCAGTTCTAACCTCTCACCTCACTTCTAGACTTCAACATCCAACTTCCTACCCAACATATCTAATTGGCCTCCCAAATTCAGTTTTTCCAATGTGTCCAAAACTTAACTCTTGGTTTTTCCCACCAAACCTGTTCTTTCCAAGACTCTGGAGTTATTTTTGCCTCCACTCTCTCAGATTTTATATCCATTCCATAACCAAACCTAGTCATCTCTACCTTAAACTATATCCAGAATCTAACCTCTTTGTTTCTCTTTCATAATTAACATACTGGCTGATCTACCACATCCCTCACCTGGATTACTACTATAGATAATGTGTCCTGTTCTTGTCACCACTCCTTAAAATTTAATCACAATACAGAAGTCAGGTCATTTAATCAGGTCAAGTGACCCCTCTCTATTCAGATTCTCCAATGGCTTCCCATCTCACTCAGTATAAAAACCTGTGTAACAGTGGCCTCCAAAGTCTTTCATGATCTGACCCTCTCCCTTTCCTCCTATTCTTATGATTTTATCTCCTATTATTGTCTTCCAATTTATTCTGCTTCAGCCACACTGGCCCCTCTTGCTGTCTGCAAACATACCAAGGATGCTTCCCACCTTTACATACCATGTACCCATACATCTTCCACGTCTTTGCCCAAATATTGCTGTAAGAATGAGGCCATTTTGAACACCCTATATAAAATAGCACAACTCCTATTTCTTTAAATGCATTTTATTTTCTTCAAGGCACATATCACCATTTTATAATCTATATATTTTCTTATTTATTTGGCTTTCATTTGTTTCCTTTTGCTCCAATGAGAGCTCCACAAAGCAGGGACTTTGTTTTGTTCACTGCTGTTTCTGTTTGCTCAGCAAGTATTAGAAGAAAGAAAGAAGACAGATTTAGGTCCAGATAGTTGCCTTCAGTGGGTTCAAGCTTTGCTCAGATGTGACGGAACATTTACATCCCTAGCACATATTTTACTCAGCAGCCTCAAAGGTATCCCCAAGCCTCTAAACAGTTGATATAATAAAATGCAGGAGGATAATTTAGCAAACATTGTGTGGGTACTGTGTTACATGAAACTCACAGAGAGGAATATAGTCCTTCCCTTTTCAGAAGCTTAAAATCTGTAATATAGCCATCATCTGCAATCATTCATTCAACAAATATCTATCACACAAGAAATCAAAACTACTTCACTGTACTGTCGGAGGCAAGAACAAAAGTACTTTAAATAAGCTGTCCTCTGAAATATTCTACTCCAAACCAGTTGATCAAAGGTTTCTGATAGCTGTCTCACTCATTACAATTTCCAAGTGGTTTCTTTCACTAACTCAATGTGGTGAAACATGTCAACAATCAATGTGGTGAAGCACGTCAATAAAGTTTTTATGGAAGGGCACACAGCACTAAAAAGTCACTTGAGCATTTCTTCTAAACAACAGTTCTATTAGCATAGTTTGAAAAATAACACTGGTTTCCCAACTTAAGATCAAAATGTACTTGAATAAGATCAAAAGGTATTTGAATTAGCATAAGAATTCTAAATATAGATCTTAAATCTTTGGTATTTTGGCATTGGTTATATTTTCACATTGGTATTTGAAAGATGGAAGACCCATTTTTGAAAACTTTGAATGAGTTATTATTATATAAAAATATTTAAAGTTTTCTATACCCTTTTATAGGTTTCAAAGTTGTTTTCTTAAACATCATTTCATATAACTCTAATGCTAATCCTATATGCCAGCTATTGTGTTGTCTCCATTTTATGGTATTTTCTTTGTAAGATTCGGTAATATACATTCATGACTATCAGATTTATCTATTGCTCAAATAAAATGATAAAGGCTATACTTATTGCAATAATAATAATAACACCTAACATTTATTAATTGTCTCAGTTTTCTCATATGTACCATGGTGTCAATAATTATACCTCCAGAGAATTGTTACGGTTAAGAAATTTTAGGTACATTAAAAAATATTTATATGTCTGGTTTACTTTTCAGAGAAGCTCAAGTAATGGACCATTTAGTTTAAAACCACACTTAACAATCTTTAACAAGAGATGATCAACATGAAGGTCTTGCATCTGGCTCAGTCTTAAAGTAGCCATATGTGAAGTTTTAAAGGCACAGCATATATGAAGAAATGCTCCATTCATTCTACAAATATTCATCAAACACAGTTCTAGGTGCTGGAGATAATATGGTGAAAAGCACAGAGCTCTGCCTTCACGGAGCTTGCATTACAGTTGGGAAAAGACAGGAAGGAAAAAATGAAGAGAGAGAGA